CCAGGCTGGTCTTAAATTCCTGGCCTCAAGCTGTCATCCCACCTTGGCCTCTCAAAACACTAGGATTACAGGTGTGGGCTACTGCACCTGGGCACCTCCCTCTGTTTTTTGTTCATCTGTGCCTCAGATGAGCTGTCTCTAGCTTTCATATTGTTATATGAATATGACATTTATTCGTTTACCACTTAATGAGGTATTGTTAGTTTGCTGTTGAAAAATCGGAATTACAGACATGTTTTTCTTAGCTACTGTTAATAATAGCATATATATATATATATAAAATTTATAGCTAATATATACTCAGCACTTCCTGGCTCCATTCTAAGCTCTTCTCATGTAAATATCTGTTTTGATTTTTTCTCCCCAGCAACTCTGTTAGGTAGTTGACTGGTTATTGGCTGACATTTTATGGATGAAAGAACTGTGGCACAGAGAGGTTATGAATGAAACATGAGCTCACACAGCTTGTAGATGCGGAATGGGAATTTGATCCCAGGCTCCCTGGGTTATTACTGGTAATGCTCTGCCATCTCTCATCTGTATGACTGAATCTATACCATCCAGAATAGCCTACATGTTTTTGTTTGTTTGTGTATGATCACAGCTCACTGCAGCCTTGACCTCCTGGGCTCAAGCGATCCTCCCACCTCAGCCTCCCAAGTATCTGGGACTAACCCTAGACTTCTTAGTTTTGTAAGCTCATAAATTCTCCATTGTTCAAGCCAGCATGAGTTGAGTGTTTGGTTATTTACCACCAAAAGTGTCTGACAGATACCATGAGGCTGAAATAAAATTATATGTCTCCAAAGACTGAAGAACTAAAAGGAAAATTAGTAATGGCAGGAAGAATGGAGTGCCGTGGATTGGCTGGAGGAGAGTGCCAGATGCAAATTATTGACAATCAGTGATTCAGCTCTGAGCGCCACAGTGCAGATTACTGAACTTGAGTTATATACAATAAAAAATTCAATTTAATGCTGTCCCAGTAGAAAGGTGTCTTGTGACCCACTGCTTGAGACCCCTAGTCTGTTACAAACACTACTTCAGGAATTTAAGAAATAACAAAAAGCTTTGGAGAACATATTTGTGAGTGTAAGTCAAACATGATCTAGGAACTGGATCACTCATACATTCCTGGTGGGAATGGAAAAATGGAGCAGCCATTCTGAAATACAGTTTGGCTGTTTCCTGTAAAATGAAATATGCAACTCCTAGTCAGCCCAGAAAGGTATGCCTGGATATTTATTCCAGAGCAAAAGAAAAAAAAAAGAAATTAAAATATTGATAAATTTAAATATTCGAACGATTACCTCCTCAGTTCCCATGCTCTCTCCAGTGATAACGAACTCACTATTAATCAGTTTGGGACACATCCTTGCACACTTTTTTACATGTTTAAACATTTAATATATTACCCATGTTTTATATATTTGCATAATACATGCATAGCTTCCAAGGAAATCTGTCTGTGTGATTGTTTTAATTAGAGTTTTTACTTTGACATAATTGTGGATTCACATGCAATTGTAAGAGAGAATGCAAAGAGATGGGCGTGGGTCCTGGCAGTGGTGGGGTGGGCGGCTTTGGGTCTGTCGGAGGGGGCAAGCGCGTAGTGGTCCTGGCAGCGCCCTGTTGTTCTGCAGCTTCTTCGGGGGTGAGGTTTTCCAGAATCACTTTGAGCCAGGCGTCTATGTGTGTGCCAGGTGTGGCCATGAGCTGATCTCCAGCCTCTCATAGTATGCACACTCATTCCCCTAGTGGGCGTTCACCAAGACCATCCACTCTGACAGCGTGGCCAAGTGCCCGGAGCAGTCATCCTGAAGCCTTGAAGGTGTCCTGTGGCAAGTGTGGCAACGTGTTGAGCCTCGAGTTCTTGAAAGTGGCCCCAAGCTGTGGCCATCGGGATTCTGAGTGAATATTCAGCAGCTCACGGAAGTTTGTCCCTAAAGGCAAAGAAACTTCTGCCTCCAAGGGCCACTAGGTGGGCAGCCCACATCCACCCTAGATGGCCATGGCACTAAGGCCACACACTGGCCATTCTACCACGGATTTAGAGTCCTGGACGTTGAGACAGGAAGGCAGGGCATGGTGACTGAAACATCAAGGAGGTTCCCAAGGCCCCAGCTCTGAACAAGATCTTGTTTCTTGGAAAAGTCACTTATTTGCTTATGGTTCCTGCCTTCTGTCAGGACAGGCCTGGGCTGTGTGGTCACGCTGTCAGCTGACTTAGCCCCTGCTCATTTGATAAGGCGTCTCAGGAGGTATGCTCTGGGCGTAGCTGGTCTTTGAATGATGTTACCACCTGACCTTCTCTTCTCGGCCCTGCCTCTGGACTCACCCCTGTGGGGCCCACTTCCAAGACAGACTTTCATCCTCACCAAAGCTTAGGCCCACATCTCCCAGGCTGCTTACGAGACAGAATGGAAATGGAGGCTGCCCCTGACAGCCCTGGTCACCATATGATCTGCTGTGGCTAAACCCTTCCAGGCCAGCGAAGTGGTGATGGTCGGTGAGCCACTAGAAAAGCAGGCTGACAGGGCAGACCCTTGGCCTCTCATCTAAGAGGAGAGAAACCTAAAGCCTGTTTTACAATCTGTGCAGAAGTAGCTTGGCCCACTCTGGCTTAGGCAAGTGGCTGTCACTTCATTATTTTAATCAGCACAAGG